GGAATAAGAAGAGGGGAGGGAATAAAAAGAGGGCAGGGAGGGAATAAAAAGAGGGGAGGGGGGAATAAGAAGAGGGGAGGGAGGGGAATAAGAAGAGGTGGGGGAATAAGAAGAGGGGGAGGGAGGGGAATAAGAAGAGGGGAGGGAGGGGAATAAGAAGAAGGGGCAGCTCTCTATAGGACAGGGGAGCTCTTTCACACTACGCGCACACACACACAATGCATCCCTATACATACACAGAAACACAACATGCTTCCCTTACACACAGAGAAACACACAATGCATCCATTACACACAGACACACACAATGCAACCCTTACACACAAAGACAATGCATCCTTTGCACACACACAGAAACAGACAATGCAAACCCGTACACACGCATGCAAACACACACACTTCTTTTCTTACATACACACAGAAACACAATGCATCTCATGCACACACATACAGACACACACACACCTTGCATCCCTTATGCATACAAACACAGATTCACACAATGCATCCCTTACACACAACCAGAAACACATAATACATCCCCTATACACAAATACACACTGCTTCCACTACACACAAACACACTGCATCACCTGCACAAACTGGTAACCCTAAACACTACATACCATACACATATTAGATCCTCTACAATAACACATAACACATCCCCTACACACTCCACTCCCTGTGAGCGAACTCATGGGTGGGTGGAACTTATGAGTGGGCCTTATGGGTATACTCACCGTCAGGCCCTGGGGCCCAGACCTTGAGCTGTGTAAGGCCCAAAAAATTGAGCTGCTTCCACTCTCCCAGAACATTGAATTTTGTGACCACAGTTGCAAACAGCCTCCAGAGATCCTGTTCTACACCAGACCAGTGGAGCCAAACTGCAGCCCATCATCATCCTCATCTGCTTGTAAGTAGGCAATCTAGTATATTATTAGTGACACTAATCTATAATTTACCTCACATTAAAGGGACACTATAGCTTAATGAAGTGGTTCTGGTGTCTATAGCTGGTCCCTGCAGGCTTTTTAATGTAAACACACACTGTGTGCAGCACTGGCGTTAGTTCATATGGCAGGTCATATGGGTGGGGCATTGTGATGTGACATGTGGGGGCAGCAAATTTTTATTTTGTCTAGGGCGGCAAAAATCCTTGCACCGGCTCTGATCCTGGGCAGGTGCACCAGTCTACTTGACTGGTTTTGCCCCCCAGGCCTAAGGCTGCCAGCCCTCCCCTGGCCTCTGGGGAGGTCTTTTGGCGGCCGCTGGCGGACTTGTCCTGGCGGCCGCTGAGGGAGCTGCGCGAGCTGCGCTGGCTCTTCTCCCCAGCACGCAGCTGAATGAGACCGGCGCCGGAATGTGACGTCATATTCCGGCGCCATTCTCATTCAGCAGCGCGCGAGGGCGGGAGGGCACTAACACAGGAAGCACCTCTAGTGACCGTCTGAGTGACTGTCACTAGCAGTGTCACTTTGAAGCAATGTAAACACTGCCTTTTGTCTGAAAAGTCAGTGTTTACGTTGAAAAGCCTGTAGGGACATGCTATAGACACCAGTACCACCACATTAAGCTGTGTGTGTGTGTGTATCAATGAGCTTGTGTGTGTCACTGAAATGTCAGTGAAATTGCCTGTGTCTGCATGTGCGTATGCTTACTGTATAATTAAACGTTTTACCCTGAAAGGACCAATATTTTATATTAGAAAAAGCAATATATATATATATATATATATATATATATATATATATATATTACTCAATCATCTGTCCTGGCAAGACATAGCCTTACATATTACACGCGACAATATATGGCGCAGTGACTTATGGGGCTGGCACAAATTTTTTTTCCAGGGCTGCTTTGTATCCCCAGTCCGGCCCTGGTACTGTTGGATATGATTTGGGGTGGGTGAGGAACTGGAGGGGGGGGATTGTTGATGATGTATTGGGCCGATGGTCTTGGGAGGTTTTGGAGAAATAAGACTGGGAAGACATGTTTTTGCAGATATTCAGGGACGAAAGGATGGGAATGTAACACTGGGGTTATGTGGTTGAAGAGAGAGAGGTTTCGGGAGGTGTATGGCTGTGGGAAATGTATGGGGAAGAGATGTACTAGGCAGCTGCAGCAAGATGCACTGGGGGAGATACAGGGAAAAAATGGAGGAATATGCTGGGAGTATAAATTGGGTAGGATATGCCTCACAGATATGAACTTGGGGGGGTTGGTTGAGGAATTATTGCTTGGAGAGATAATAGGGGAAATGGCAGAGAGTTTTTCTTTTTAAAGAAACACTTATTTTAGGAATACAAAGCTGTATTCCTAACACTATAGTGTCCTTCTGCCCCCACGCCCTCCCACTGCAGCAATGAAAGGGTGCTGGCTCAGGCTCTGACTCCTCTGACGTCATTGCGAGGGGGAATCTAATGCCATTAGAAAGCTTTGAATTAATGCTTTCCTATGGCGATTTTTAAATTTGCTTGATATCCTCATTCAAAGCGTGCGGTCGTCCAGCAACGTTTCACAGAGTTAAAGGACCACTATAGTGCCAGGAAACCATACTCGTTTTCCTGGCACTATAGTGCCCTGAGGGTGCGCCCACCCTCAGGGACCCCCTCCCGCCCGGCTCTGGAAAGGGGAAAGTGGTTAAAACTTACCTTTTTCCAGCGCTGGGCGGGGAGCTCTCTGCCTCCTCTCCTCCTCCGTTCCTCCTCCTGGGCTAAATGCGCACGCGCGGAAAGAGCTGCGCGCGCATTCAGCCCATCGCATAGGAAAGCATTTACAATGCTTTCCTATGGACGCTTGCGTGCTCTCACTGTGAAAATCACAGTGAGAAGCACGCAAGCGCCTCTAGTGGCTGTCAATGAGACAGCCACTAGAGGATTAGGGGGAAGGCTTAACCCATTAATAAACATAACAGTTTCTCTGAAACTGCTATGTTTATAAAAAAAAATGGGTTAACCCTAGAAGGACCTGGCACCCAGACCACTTCATTAAGCTGAAGTGGTCTGGGTGCCTAGAGTGGTCCTTTAAACTCCATGAAACTACAGTGTACACCTTTAGTGGCTTTCTGGAAGACAGCCATTAGAAGCAGTCTTAACACTGCAATGTAAACAATGCAGTTTCTCTAAAACTGCAGTGTTTTACATTGCAGGGACACTGCACCCAGACCACTTCAATGAGATGAAGTGGTCTGGGTGCCTATAGTGTTCCATTAAGTTATAATGGAAATTTGAGATACAATGTGTGGGCGTGATTTCAGTCAGACACAAAGTCCTTGACTGGCTCTCAAAATGTACACAATGCCAGGGATGCGCCTGCGGTGAAAGCCGAAGAAGCTGCTGCCCCGCGGACGGAGTGGGCTCCGAAGGTTTCCTCTACGCCCGCCAGGGACAGAATCCATCTTACCCATCTGGCCAGGGTGGTGGTAGAGACGGGAACGTGTGGTCTAACGTAGGACACCAAGAGTTGGCCCGTAGGGGAGACCCGCAAACGGGATGTGACCTCTACGTACCGATGTAGGATAGATACCACGCAGAGAAGCGGTTCTGTAGGAAAAAAGGGGTAGAAGACCGATGTGGAGTCGGATTTCGTACGGCGTGAAACTTGGAAGGTAACTCCCTCCGGGGAGACCGAAAAGGCATCGATGTCGAATGCTCGTACGTCCGAAACTCTGCGGAACGAGACCAAACAAAGTAGGAGCGTCAGTTTGGCTGATAGTTGTCGGAGCGAGAGTCTGTCGTTGTCTGGCCAGTCCCTCAGGAACTGTAGGACGTTTTCAACGTCCCATAGTCAGGAATATTTAGGTTTCGGAGGCCTCTGAAGTCTGATGCCCCTGAGGAGGCGGCATACCAACGGGTCTTTCCCGACGGGGATCCCCTGGGCCGGAACGTGGGCCGCCGAAATTGCGGAGCGCACGACGTTGAGGGATCGATAAGATCGGCCCTTGGAGAAGAGATGAGAGAGAAAATTCATGATGGCTGTTATAGGTGCAGTAAAGGGATCGAAATTCCGCTCACTGCACCAAGCAGACCAGGAGCTCCATGCCGATAAGTAACATCGTCTGGTTCCTGGTGCCCATGAGTCCCATAGGAGATCTCGAGATGTTTGCGATAACTCTTCGGTTTGCCAGGCTCCCCTGAAAGCGTCCAAGCCACCAGCGTGAGACAGTCTTCCAGGATGAGCGGGTGTTGATTCCCTCTCGGGTCCATAAGGAGCGTCGGATAGGACGGTATGAGGAGGGGATCTCTGTAGGATGACGCTAGAAGATCCGGAAACCATGGTTGACCCTGCCATAGGGGTGAGATGAGGAGCAGGGATCCGCGTTGGGTCTTCAGGTATTGCATCGTCCTGGCTACCATGGCGAATGGGGGAAAGGCGTACGCCTCCAAGGGTGGCCAAGGTTGGAGAAACGCATCTACTGCCTTGCTCTCTGGGTCTGGGAGCTAGCTGAAGTACTCGTCTGTCTGCCTGTTGTTGCGTGACGCGAAGAGGTCCAGGTGGAGGGGACCCCTCCTGACCGAAAGGCGCTGGAAGATCGCTGGGTCCAGTCTCCAGTCGCTGCTGTCCCGTCAGTGGCGTGATAACCAGTCCGCTGTCAGGTTCGTTTCTCCCGGGAGGTATTCTGCCATGAGGGAGATTTTCCGGGGTAGACAAAAGTCGAAAATTTCCTTCGTGATCTCTGAGAGGAGCCTGGATCAGGCTCCTCCCAGACGATTGATGTAGCGGACCGCTGAGATGTTGTCCATACGGAGGAGGATGCAGCAGTCTGTCCGGTCTCTCGCTAAGCTGCGGATCGCAAACGACCCCGCTAGGAGTTCTAGGCAGTTTATGTGAAGGTTGGTTTCTTGGGAAGTCCAAGTGCCTCCTGTCGATCTGCCCTCGCTTGTGGCGCCCCAGCCCCACAGGCTGGCATCTGATTCCCGAAGATGGCTCGGCTGTTCCAAGCTTCCATGCTGTCCAACCACCATCCGAGTTCTTCCCTGATTTCTTCCGTTACCGGAATGTTTTGGTCGTAGGAAGGGTTCTGACGGAGGAAGGAGGCCTTCAGGCGTTGCATCGCCCTGCAGTGTAGTGGGCCCGGGAAGATTGCCTGTATAGATGCGGACAGTAGTCCCACGATTTGAGCCAGGCTGCGGAGTGGAATGGTGTTGCAGCGGATGACTCTGCGCAGTTCCTTTTTGATGGCTGTGATCTTTGAGATCGGGAGCCGTAAGGTGCTGGTCTTGGAATCTATCTCGAAGCCCAGGAAATGTATCGTCTGGGCTGGGAGCAGCTCCGATTTTTGGTAGTTCACCACGAAGCCTAGGGACGTCAGGAGTTGAATGGTATATCGTGTGTGTTGTGTTAGACTGTACCTGTCTGAGGAAAAAAGTAGCAGGTCGTCCAGGTAGATAATGCAACGAATTCCTTGAGTTCGTAGTTGTGATACCACCGGCTTGAGGAGCTTGGTGACGCACCACGGTGCTGAGCTGAGGCCGAAGGGGAGGCATGTGAACTGCCAGGGTTGGTCTTGCCATAGGAATCTGAGAAATTGGCGGCAAGACCCATGGACGGGGACCGACAGGTAAGCGTCTTTGAGGTCCAGTCTCGTAAACCAGTCCCTGTCTTGGAGTAGATCTCTCAGCAGGTGAATGCCTTCCATCTTGAAGTGCCTGTACGTTACAAAAGCGTTGAGTCCCTTCAAGTTTATAACCGGACGGAATTCTCCTGATTTCTTTTTTACTAGAAAAATGTTGCTGAAGAAGCTCTTTCCGTCGTGAGCCGGTTCTATTGCTCCTTTCGCCTTGAGCTCCCGTAGTTCGCCGTCGATTAGGCGGCGGTCCTCCTCGGAGCATTGAATGGGATGCAGGGGAGCGAGCTGGTAAGGGGGTTCTACGAAGTCGATGACGTAGCCCCGAACCGTCTGGAGGATCTATGCGTCCGTGGAGATGGTTGTCCAGTTCTGAAAAGACAGAACAATACGGCCTGCAGTGTAAGGGGTAAGTGAAACTAGAGACACTAGATTGCTTACCTGTGGGGAAGCGTGCTCTGCTCCTCGGGTATAGGAGAAGGGTTGCCTGAAGCCCACTTCCGGGTAGAAAGGCTGTGGTCTGTGTGACCGGGGGCCAGAAGGCCAGAATCGGCTGGCTGCTCGGCCCCTGTAGCGGCCAGCCCGTCCAAAAACACCCCGACTGGGGTATCCTCTGAAGACTCGTTTCATCGACGTCTGAGCCATGGGCGTCCGCAGGAATTTTTCCAGGGGGGGCATAATTGTAATGACATCCATGCTTGGTACCTTTTTGACAGTGTCATGAAAGGGAAGGGGCATAGCCATTATCACATAAAGCCAGGGTGAATAGCGTTTTCACAACTATGGTGTCAGGAATATATGTTTGTATTCCTGACACTATAGTGTTCCTTTAAGCAAATTAAAGGACCATTCTGGTCACCATAACAACTTCACCTGAATGAAAATGCTATGATGCCATGAAGCCCCTGGGTGCTCGCTTTCCTTTAAGGGGTTAAATCGCTCTCAAATGGTTTAACCCCAAAGGCTTCCTCCAGCTCCAGGTCGCTCAGTGGTATTTGGCTTCTGAAACAGAGTGTCAGGAAGTGTAGATTGACGTCAGGCATGGGTGCCGCTGATTGGCTAGAGTGGACAGTTGACGCTCTAAGCCAATCGCTAGTTCCCGGTTCATAAAATATTTTTACTTTTTTATGAATGGGGAGCTACTGATTGGCTTAGAGTGCCAGCTGACCGCTCTAGCCAATCCGCAACACCCCTACCCAACGGCACTCTGGGCTTCCTGACACTCAGTAAATAAAAGTGAACACATTAATACTGATATTTTTTTACCTTTGGAGATGAGAAGGTCCAGCGTTTCCCTGCCTGGCCCAGGTACCAAAGCCTTATGATGTGGTGTCCAGAATAAAGTGGAGGGTTCACTTCATTTGTCCTTCCTGCTCCAATCTCCTTTTCCTCTCCTTCATTTGGCAGTCTTTTTTTTTCTTCTAACACTGTTTTCTATCCTTGGCCCCTTCTGCTCTTTTACCTTTCTGCTACTTTCTGCTTATTTTGCGCCCTTCTGCTCCTTTCTCATTCTGATCCCTTTCTGCTCCTTGCAGACCCTTTCTGCTCCTTGCAGACCCTTTCTGCTTCCTTTTCTACTTTACCTTTGTGCTCCTTGCAGACCCTTTCTGCTCCCTTTTCTACTTTACCTTTGTGCTCCTTGCTGTCCCTTTGTGCTCCTTCCTGCTCCTTGCTGCTCCTTCCTGCTCATTCTCCTACTTTATGTTTGTGTTCCTTCTGCCCCTTCCAGCTCATTTCTGACCCTTTCTGCTCCTTCTACTTTACCTTTGTGCTGCTTTACCTTCCAGCTCCTTGCTGACCCTTCCTGTTCATTTCTATATATCTATAGGCTGCTGCCCCCAAATCTATAGGCTGCTGCCCCCCTAAATCTATGGGCTGCTGCCCCCAAATCAATGGCTGCTGCCCCCAAATCTATAGGCTGCTGCCCCCAAATCTAAAGGGCTGCTGCCCCCCCCCCAAATCTATGGGCTGCTGCCCCCAAATCTATGGGCTGCTGCCCCACTCCCCAAATCTATGGGCTGCTGCCCCCTCCCCAAATCTATGGGCTGCTGCCCGCAAATCTAAAGGCTGCTGCTGCCCTCAAATCTATAGGCTGCTGCCCCCCTCCCCAAATCTATGGGCTGCTGCCCCCAATCTAAAGGCTGCTGCCCCCCAAATCTAGGCTGCTGACCCTCCCCAAATCTAAAGGCTGCTGACCCTCCCCAAATCTATGGGCTGCTGCCCCCAAATCTATGGGCCCCTAAATCCTGCCCCTAAATCTATCTGCTGCTGCCCCCCAACCCCCAAATCTATAGGCTGCTGCCCCCCTCACCTGATCTGTAGGCTGTCTCTGGCTGCATGTGTTGCTCCCCTGCGGTTTCAATCAGCAGAGAGAAGCAGGGATAAGATGCAGCTTCCTATCCCTGTCTCTCTCCATACACCGCGCCACCTACTGGCCGGCGCCGGTATTGCAGTTCATTTTAAATCACACACGAAAAATATCAGAACAGGCTGAAAAACCAGGGGGGGGAAAGTGCCCCCCCCCTGCGTACGCCCATGGTCTGAGCCTTATTGAGGGACGTAAAGATGTTAACATGCTTGTTCAGCTCTTTTAAGAAAGGTTCTCCGAACAATTTGCCCTGTGCCAACGGTCCCAACTCTTTGGTGCCCAAATCCACCAGTTTTCCGTCAATACGGAGTAAAGCTGCCTTGCGCCTCTCAGAGGAGAGGGCTACGTTGGTGTTACCAACAAAACAGAAGCACTGTTGTGCCCATTCCCTAATATCATGTGCCCACTCTTTGACCATGCTAGAGTCAAATTGATCGGCCCTAGTGAACGCATCATCCGCCAGGTACAATATGCGGGAGAGTGGGCCAATTGAGTCCAGCAGTTTATCCTGGACCCCGTGGAATCCTTTCTCCACACCCGCCGAGGGTCACGGCCACCTCGGGACATAAAGGTGTTCATCACCTGATCAGACTCCGGGGTCTGTGTTACATGGTCGGGGAGCGAGGGGCGCGGGCATTCAGAGCGTAGACGGTTGCGCACCATTTTGTCAAGTGGTTTGCGTAGCCAGCGGTGCATAAATTTGGAGAGGTGGTTGGGGGGGGGTCCAGTCTCCAGAGCGTGGATGGCGGATATTACGAGGGTCAAAGAGACGTTGCCCCGTGGGGTCTAGGATGGTATCCCCTTCTTACAGGGGTTTGGGATGCTTCCATAGTGATTTTGTGTTGGCACAGGGCAGATGGGCTAGGGGTCAGGTAGTAGAGTATGGATTCAGTAATAATAATGACAACACCCCAGCAGGATGTGTGGTAGCACAGGTACAAGAAGCACCAGAGACCCCAGCAGGGTAAATTGGGTTTTCTTGCTGGGCCTCACCCAGAAATGTATATGACAGTGAGAGTGGCACGAAATCCGCTCAATCTGGTGTTAAGATGGGGTTGGGATGCCCCTTACCATATACATATATATAGGTGGCACAAAATCCACCTGATGGCAGCAGTGAAATAAGGGCCTCACCCTGTTAGAATTGTAGTTGGCACAAAATCCACCCAGTAAATCAATAATAGTGGACTCACCACTCAATAGGGCCAGCAGCCTCTGAATCCTATAATAAGAATGCCAGTGACCCCTGCCAGCTGTACTTCTTTGCAGGCTGCAAGCCGTCAGCACAGAACGGTATAACACACCCCAGCCGGCCGGGATGTGTGTGTGGGTGTCTGGGAACGAGCAGGTTGCGGCGGCGGTCGGCACTGCGCAGTCTGCGGTACTCCCAAAATGGCGGCCGAGAATCTCGCGAGACGCAAGATCCAAGATGGCCGCCGGGGAGCCGGGAAAGAGGCGTGCCGGCGATCTAGAAAGCGGCTGGGGAGCTGCAAGGGAGTATTAGGAGCAGGGTGAGCGTTACCCTGAGGGAAATAAGCTGGGAGGCCAGCGGCAAAACGGGGGGAAAACGGAGGGAGAAAAAGGGATGACAGAAACCCCTAAGAAGAACGAGCAGAGACAAAATAGAATAAAATCACATAGTGAGACATAATAATAAGAATAAAACCCCCCCAGGACAGGAGGGAGAAGTCCCCCAGAAGAAAACAGTATAAAGTAAAATCATATAACATATAATATAGGAATACAGTAAATATAAAGGGAAGAGCTTGGAAACTCTGACCTGTCTGCTGATGGAGCAGTAAAGAAAGAGGGGGAGGAGCCTCATCACTGTGAATACTATACCTCCTACTGCATTTTGATTGGTTAATGTTTTCACTTTTCTTTACTGCTATGTGGAGTTAGTAAAGAGAGTTATATGCAAAATATGAAGCCTCCTGTCATGTGGTAAAATTACAAATAAATTTCATTCCTTCTATATCTGTTTGTGGAAATCTGTTCAATCCTTTTTAACTGACTTAATTGCACAAAAGAGGAGATCTGTTAGATTTTGGTTATGATATGTTTTAAAATGCTGGGAGACACTATGTGACGCCACACCCTTTTTAATATTTCTAATGTGCTCTGCAATTCGCATGTTGAGGCCCTTGTTGTTCTCCCAACATACATTAAATCACAGGAACATATAAAAATGTAGATAATATTTTTTGAGAAACAGGTAAGTTGGTCTTTAATTTTAAATTGTTCATCTTCTTCTGTTACGGGAAGTAAGGCGTCGCCACCGAATGAAACATAATGTGCGTTCCACGAGAGATGTGCACATCCAACGCAGGTGGGGAGAGTCAACCAATTAAGGACCTATAAAACCGGACAGAAATAAAAGCAGTGAATTCACCAGCTGAGGAAGCCAATTTACTTGGCAAAACGCGTTCTGGGCAATTTTAACTATTGGAGAACACTAGTTTCTACTATCCAGCACTATTAGGATTTGATTTTTGGTTTATTTTTTTTATCGGAGTTTAATTCCATACTTTGTAGATTTTCTCCTCTTTTTCGAAGATATCGGGACCCAGGATCAACATTACTCATATTGTCCGGGATTCCATACATAGAAGAGGGGTGAGGGTCTCCCTTAGGATCCTAAAGTTTCATCCACTAGAGCCAGGTGTCAATATGCCTCTACATTTTTGAGTGTACATTACTTGTTATGGATATTTTATACTTTTGAAAACTATCTGCACTATTGTTTCCCTGTCATTTTATTACAGATTCTTACTCATAATTTCCCATCCATTTTTTAAGGTATACCTTATCTGCTCCCACTGTGTTTTGTGTTTGCTTTGTATACATATTGTGGGTTAAAGTTATATCCCATGGAGCATTGAGTTTTCACTATATCATGACAATTGTACACTTTCTTTTAATAAAATTGTTAGTCAACCGGTCCCTTTACTTCCTGATACTTAAGCTCAATGAATCTAAACTCAAAAGACAGACAAATGCCCAAGTCTCTCTCATGTAATGTAATTGTCTCATCTATTGTTAAATTCCCCCCCTTTTATAAAATTGTAAATCACTGGTGAATAAGTTGGCGCTATATAAATAATGCTTAGATCTGTATTTTGTATAAATATCTTTGTTTTGTGCCCAGCTCTGTGTATTCTTATGAATTCATCTAGTGTTTTCTGTTATCAAGATTTTGTAACCAGCCCCATCACAATTTTTAGGACCAGGCCCAATAGGCCTGGACCGGAGTGTTCCTTTAAGTTCCCTTGTGGTGACCCACCTATGTAACTCTGTTGCATCTTGTGTTGCAAACGCTCATGAAATGACAGACAGTTACAGAATAGTATACAGTTCTGGAATGTACACACACATCATGCTTCTCCAAATCCCATCACTCAGCATTGTGCACTGCACTCCTGAAATGTTATGCTACTGCATTGTTTACTGCATTCCACATGATTCACCTAGCTCTACCTTACCCCCTGGCATGAAGCAAGATGATTTTTGTTGTGCTTCCATTAGTAGTTAAATTCCAATACAGCTGCTGAAACAATTCTGTTTAGTTTTTGGCAATCATTTCTACCCTTCCTCCCCGGATATGTTGCAAGAAATAAAAACAGTTCATGGCAATTGACTGCGGACTTTGAACAGCTGTTATGTTAAAGCTCTGAGAGCTTGTCCTTCTTTTCCCCTGTGCAGAGGTCACCTTTCGAGTTTGCACACAAAGTTTTCTTGTGATTTGCATTAATCTGTCCTTAGTTGTATTATTCACAAACGACTTATACAAGTTTATAATATCATCACTGAAAATCAGACATTTTAACTGGAGTTTATTGGGATGAGTCAGTGGGACACAGGGATACAAGTTAATTAGATCCTCAAACTTTGCAGTCTGTGAAAGTATTCAGGAATATATAGCCATTTTCTAATGAAATCACCAACTTTCATTTCTCCCTCTCCAAGCGGCCATAACACTTTTGACTTGTATAGTTAGACATATGCAGTAATTATGTTGCTTTTTCTAATTATATCATGCCTGCTGTAATGAGCAAGTTTTTCTTTATTAGAACTGTAATTATGTTGTGTCTTACCAGTTTAATTTTTCTTTCAGGATCCCAAATGATTTATAGCCCTGTGTGTAGGGATATATTAGTGACAATATTTATGTATGTACCGAAGGATTCTTCATCGTGAACTTTGCAAAACTGAATTCCATAGGCAAATTGCATACATTATTAGTACATCGCCTAAAATAAAATGTCTCAGACATTCTGCCCTGCCCCTGGCCACAACCCTAAAATCAAAGTGTCCCCTTTTGCCTATTTGATATGTTGTGAGGGATGGTATAGTACAATGTTATATATATATATATATATTGTGATAAAGTGAAGGCAGATAGGCCTTTTAACCCCAGGGGAAGTACGTGTAGTTTGTGTGTTGCACAACACAAAGCTTTGTTTAGTTATGGGCCCCTGGGGTGGAGCATTTGGAGAGAAGGGTGGGCCAATGCTCCACTCCACAGTTTAGTGGTTTTCTGGGGAGACATAGATCCAGGCCAGGGTTTTTTGGATCATCTCCAACCCACTGCTCAGCTGCAGTTAATGAGCTGTTGCAGTGGGAATAAACCCCTCCCGGCTAGGCAGGAAAAGGAGGGGGATTGCTGGCTTCCTCCCAGGAAGCAGGTGGGAGAGAGGCTGTTCTCTCCAGATAGAGAGTCAAGGAGACTAGGCACTGGGAGTGCAGGAGGAAGCAGTCAAGGCTGGCTTGGAGCACTGGGAGTGGAGAAAGAAAAGCAACAGGCTAGCTAGCAGAGTGTTGCTATCTAATAAGGTTGGTGCAATATGTTTTGTTAGTTTAACCCTGATAGAGAGGGATATTCAAAGTGAGTCAGTGCTCAGACGAGCTAGGTTTTTGTTTAAAGGGAAACCTGTTATATTTATGTTTTCATTTGCTGCTGCCTCATATGTAAACTTACAAATAAAGTGCCTGGAATGAAGTTGCATTAAAAGACTGTGCATGTTTTTGCCCTAGAGAACCGTGCTACGAGCTGACAAGGATCACAGTATATATATATATATATATATATACAGGGAGTGCAGAATTATTAGGCAAGTTGTATTTTTGAGGATTAATTTTATTATTGAACAACAACCATGTTCTCAATGAACCCAAAAAACTCATTAATATCAAAGCTGAATATTTTTGGAAGTAGTTTTTAGTTTGTTTTTAGTTATAGCTATGTTAGGGGGATATCTGTGTGTGCAGGTGACTATTACTGTGCATAATTATTAGGCAACTTAACAAAAAACAAATATATACCCATTTCAATTATTTATTATTACCAGTGAAACCAATATAACATCTCAACATTCACAAATATACATTTCTGACATTCAAAAACAAAACAAAAACAAATCAGTGACCAATATAGCCACCTTTATTTGCAAGGACACTCAAAAGCCTGCCATCCATGGATTCTGTCAGTGTTTTGATCTGTTCACCATCAACATTGCGTGCAGCAGCAACCACAGCCTCCCAGACACTGTTCAGAGAGGTGTACTGTTTTCCCTCCTTGTAAATCTCACATTTGATGATGGACCACAGGTTCTCAATGGGGTTCAGATCAGGTGAACAAGGAGGCCATGTCATTAGATTTTCTTCTTTTATACCCTTTTTGCCAGCCACGCTGTGGAGTACTTGGACGCGTGTGATGGAGCATTGTCCTGCATGAAAATCATGTTTTTCTTGAAGGATGCAGACTTCTTCCTGTACCACTGCTTGAAGAAGGTGTCTTCCAGGAACTGGCAGTAGGACTGGGAGTTGAGCTTGACTCCATCCTCAACCCGAAAAGGCCCCACAAGCTCATCTTTGATGATACCAGCCCAAACCAGTACTCCACCTCCACCTTGCTGGCGTCTGAGTCGGACTGGAGCTCTCTGCCCTTTACCAATCCAGCCACGGGCCCATCCATCTGGCCCATCAAGACTCACTCTCATTTCATCAGTCCATAAAACCTTAGAAAAATCAGTCTTGAGATATTTCTTGGCCCAGTCTTGACGTTTCAGCTTGTGTGTCTTGTTCAGTGGTGGTCGTCTTTCAGCCTTTCTTACCTTGGCCATGTCTCTGAGTATTGCACACCTTGTGCTTTTGGGCACTCCAGTGATGTTGCAGCTCTGAAATATGGCCAAACTGGTGGCAAGTGGCATCGCAGCTGCACGCTTGACTTTTCTCAGTTCATGGGCAGTTATTTTGCGCCTTGGTTTTTCCACACGCTTCTTGCGACCCTGTTGACTATTTTGAATGAAACGCTTGATTGTTCGATGATCACGCTTCAGAAGCTTTGCAATTTTAAGAGTGCTGCATCCCTCTGCAAGATATCTCACTATTTTTGACTTTTCTGAGCCTGTCAAGTCCTTCTTTTGACCCATTTTGCCAAAGGAAAGGAAGTTGCCTAATAATTATGCACACCTGATATAGGGTGTTGATGTCATTAGACCACACCCCTTCTCATTACAGAGATGCACATCACCTAATATGCTTAATTGGTAGTAGGCTTTCGAGCCTATACAGCTTGGAGTAAGACAACATGCATAAAGAGGATGATGTGGTCAAAATACTCATTTGCCTAATAATTCTGCACTCCCTGTATATATATATATATACACAAAATCTGGCACTCTACCTTGAAATAATAGTCATCCAAAAATAGCCTCGGTGCTGCAGAGCGTAGATAAATAGAAAAATGATAATAAGAAGAGCACTCCAGAGGACTTGTTTGAATAGGGTTTATCGATGTATAAACAAAATCAACGTTTCGACCCGCAGGTCTTTATCAAGATGCATAACAAAGTGAGACAGTGGCATTTATAGCAAAAGATAATTAAGGGGTAATCACTTACCCTAGGATAGGTGTGCAGCCTCAAAACCATGTGTATACGCTGTAAGATAATTAGATAGTGGCGTGTAGGTTCCGTAACGGAATGATGACGTCAAATAAGTGTGACAGAAAGAGGTCGTGAGAAAGCGTCCAGTTACCATAGAAACGAGTGAGTGATCTTGCGTGATGTGAAAAATAAAATAAAATACAGCAAATAGGAAGAATATATACAAATAGAATAAAAGTGGTGGCCATAGTATACCTTGATATAGGCATGTGTTTTTATATTGACAAATAGTCCAGAATACAGAAAATAATAAGCGTATAAAAAAGGGGGAGGATGTGCTAAGTGGTGAGTAGACACAAACCTAAAAAAGTGAAGCAGAAGAAAAAGTGGAAACTGAAAAAGCTAGATAGAGGAAATGAAAAGTAAGAGAAAACAGGCGATGGTGAGTGACAAAAAAAGTGATGCAATCACAATATATAACAAAGTGATAAAAGCGTGAAACTAAACCTAAGATGAAAGAGACAGAACATATAAGACAAAAGTAAAGTACAAAGATAAGGACTATAGGTGAATACAAATATCCAAATAAGCACAAAGAGTATATACATATATACATTATTGTATCGATGAATAGTATACATAATGGATACACCAAAAAAATATTAATAAAGGCAGAATACGACCTAAGCAGATGAATGGCAAGATTAGCTAATAAAGCCTTTAGAAAGAGAGCAGAAAGATTGTAAAAGGCAGGGGCAAAAGCTAGACATGAAATCTAAGAGTCAGATTAACGTGTGTCCAGGAAAGAATGAAAAGAAACGTATTCGTTCAGGCCCTTAGGGTGTAAAGTATCCAATGTTTTAATCCAATAGACCTCCCGCTGAAGTAGAATCTTGGAACGATCACCCCCTCTAGAAAGCGGGGGGATGTGGTCGATGGCTATGAATTTAAGAGTGGGAAGCCGATGGTTCGCCTCTAAAAAATGTTTGGCCACCGGTTTATCAGTCTTGCCATCCCTGAAAGCGGTCATAATTCCTGACCGATGACCTCGCATTCTATCTCGTAGTGTAAGATCAGTTTTCCCCACATAATATAGTCCACATGGGCACGATATTAAATAAACCACATGGGTGGTGAGACAAGTGATATGGTGTTTGATGAAATATCGTTTTCCTGAATGTGGATGGGCAAACGAAGGTCCTGTGAGCATATGGCCACAAGTAACGCAGTTGGTACATTTAAAACAACCTAATTTAGTATAAGCTTTTTTCATTTCATATTGATTAAGACAATCACTTTTAACCAAAATATCTCTTAGATTGCAGTTGCGTCTAAAGGCGATTCGAGGAGGGTGGGAGAAGACAGGGTGCAGTGTGGGATCAGAAGCCAATAGGTCCCATCTTTTGCGAATAACCTTTGCAATTTGATCACTTGCTGTATGGTACAGAAGTGGTACTGTAATTCTCATAGGTTCATGAAGCAAAATGGTTGTTTGAGTGCGAGGCTTATTATAAATCTCGCAGGCTCTATCGAACGAACGCTTGAGTATATAATTCGAATATCCTCTCTTTTGAAAAGCTTGTTGCATCACAGTAATCTGTGTCTTTGTATTATGTGGGTCTGAGTTATTTCTCAGTACTCGAAGAAACTGTGAAATGGGGAGTGATCTCTTAAGAGCGCCTGGATGAAAACTAGTAGCGTGTAG